CTGATGAGTCGGTGAAACTCCGACGAAACAGTTTGTCACAGCCCCTCGTTTGTTGTCCTCTTCTCCCTCTCTGCCTACGGTTTGCCGGGCAGTTCTATTTGACGATATATATATATATATATATATATATATATATAACCTCTCTGCCTACGGTTTACCGGGCAGTTCTATTTGACGATACTGTTTGTGACGATATATATATATATCGTCAAAATTTCATAATCCATACAGGTACTGAGGGAAAAAGGCAACTTACCTAAGACAGGAGTCTCCACCAGCAAGAAAGCACCGACACCCTGCTCTAGGTCCGAAAAGACTTGGAGAGCCCTCCGTGTCGGCCCACAAGTCCACAAAATTAATTACAAAATTAATTACAAAATTAATTACACAAGCACAACAGCATTTGCACTGCTATTCATCCCTAACGACTCTCTCACGTCACCACCATCTCTATCACTCCATGGCTAAACATCCTCCATCTCATTTTTCTGTCTAGCCGTGGAGTGTATAGAGTGCCATAATCCCAAACTCCACAAGCTCTTCACGCGACACCATGTGTCTGTGCGTGTGTGTGTGTGTGAGTGTGTGTGTGTGTGTGTGTGTGTGTGTGTGTGTGTGTGTGTGTGTGTGTGTGTGTGTGAGCAGGGCCTTATGATCCTGCTCCATTCTACTCTGGGGAGGGTCAGTTCGGTTCCTTCTCCACATGCGAGACATCAAGTTTATATCCAAATACTCGGATGTTTTCTATCCTGGGAAGGGTCAGTACTTTTTTAAGTCAACTGGTCAATCCAGTTTCTTTTCCTCTTGCAAGACATTTGTAACCAAATACCCTGATGCTGTCTATTCTGGGGAGGGTCAGTCCGGTTCCTTCTCCTCTTGCGACATCAAATTTATACCCAAGTACCCGGATGCTTTCGCCTGTCATGGCTGAAGGAGCCCTTGAACAGCATTAATTGCTCCACTTGTGCTTACTTACAAGTTATAACTGACACTGGCGAGTCTCTGACCCATCTGTATTTTGCAGTATTACTCTATTACAAACGGTACTTCGTCCTTGGGGACATTCGTTAAAAAATTGGAACGATACAGAGAAAGAAGATTAGCATGGCCCCTGCGCAAGTATGACACGCATAAATCGAGAAATGGCAAAAACAAACAAACAAACAAACAAACAGACAGTACTTTGTAAAAAGGCAGATTACTGATCGGTCGGGCTCTTCTCCACTTGCAAACATCAAATTTATATCCAAATACCCGGACGGCAGATGCTTTCTATTCTGGGAAGGGTCAGTCCGGTTTCTGTTCTTGCAAGACATCAAATTTATAACCAAGCACCCGGATGCGTCCTTCTGTCATGGCTGAAGGAACTCCAGAACAACATTAATTGCTTGCTCCACTTGTGCGGAATGGTAACGAACACCTGTGATCCATCTGTATATTACAGTATGAAAGCCAGATTCCTGGTCAGTTCGGTTTCGTCTCCACCTGCACGACATCAAATTTATAACCAAATACTTGGATGCTTCCTTCTGTCATGGCTTAAGAAACCCCCGAACAGCACTGGATGCTCCACTTATGCTTAATTGTTATCACTAACACCAGTGACCCACCAGTATATTACAATGTTACTTCATTACAAATACTAAATAGTAGTTTTCAAAGCAGGATTACTGGCATCTTCATGGAAACCAATACTGGCCTGGAAGCCGCCAGTCTGACATGCACTGGGATGAGGGCCACTTTTTTATTGAACTTTATCTCTGTACTTCGCAGCAGTATGTACTATGTAGTATGTAGTCATGTGCCACCTCATTGACATCTGCTAGCACTGTGTGATATGTACAAGCTTGAATGGATGAAAACCACAGGACCAGATGGCGCCTCCTCGAGGCGCAGCCGCTCACCTCCAGGTACATGATGATGGCTTGCTGGCAGTTGCTGCACATCATAAAAAAAAAAAAAAAAATAATAATAATAATAAAATAAACAGGGCTTTTGTACCTGGCTCCTTGCCCATTCTGGGGAGCATCAGTCCGGTTCCTATTCCCCCGGCAAGTCAAGAAGATACAAGGCTTACAACTTTGACTCACTCCTACGCTACTTTGACAAACTCCAACGCTTCTTCCCATTATGGTTGTGAGACCGGAGTGGGCGGCATTGATTACTTCCTCGTGGAAGGGCTTACCTCCCCCTTTTGTTTTTTTTTAATGCGCTAATAGCTCTATCCAATAGATCTACAAGCACATTCTGAGCCCCCTTTCATCTATGGTATGGGTATAGGACATCGCTTTTAATATGCACCTGCAGCCTGATTGGGATTTCCCTATTTTCCATTGAAGATGATTGAACCAGTGCCTCACCTCTAACAATTGTTCTCATGAGCTAGCAGCTCAGCAGCTGTGCTCACTAGATAGCTGACTGGATGTCAAGTTGTGAACACATTTATTATTTATACAGTTGGTAATTGGCATGACTTCAGAACTGCATCAACAATATTTTATCTGCTGCATGCTTTGTTGAGGAGATTCTCCATCAACTTTGCCGCAAGATCTGGACTGGACTTGCTACTACCATTCTCACAAGTGCTGATATCCAGCAGGTGATACAATTTGTCTTACTGAATGGGTTTGACGCATACACTGCCATAATTTTTTATTTTTTTTTAGAATATATATATGTATATATATTATATATATATATATACAATATATAAATATAATATATATGTGACGATATATATATATATATAGATATATATATATAATACTATTTGATGATATATGTGACAATATATATATATTGTCACATCACTACAAACTAAAAGAGCGCACTTTGCGGAACAAAGAATAAAAGCAAAAAACGGGCACAGTGATAACATGCAAAAATAAAAATAAAAAGAAAAAACAAGGGCAGATTGAAACCATTAAATTTCTCATTCTT